TTTTGTCCTTCCCCTAGTCACAGGTACCAGTTGTTTAAAGACGCTGGAGACTCGCCTTTTGCCACTGCCACTCAACTATCTAAGCATTTCCAGGGCCACAACGGGGAGGTGTGACATGTGATTTGTTGGCAGAACATATTTGAGAGGTAGGCATTAACTCGAAGTTTTGATAGTGTAACTTAGTGACATCAGTTACACCCTTCGAGACCTTCACCAGCCTTTGATCCCACAGCGATATAAGTCAAAATTTAAAATACAGTTATGTCTTAATCTTGTATGAATTATGTTCAAAAACCTTTTTCCATAAAAAAAAGTATTTCTGAGTTTTTACATTACTATTTTGCAGATAGTTGCCTCCATTGTTTTAAGACTAAGGAAATTCCACTTTCTAACAGTATCGATAATAAATGATTTATTACGTAGTTTTAATCTGTATTTTGGCAAAGAATAATTTAAAGAATCTCGGGTAGTGTATCCTGAAATATTGCCTCTTGTATCTGGTACTAAGATTTGTAAATAAATAGGTACTAAATTATTATGCATTTTATACATTGTTAATATTTTGCCCTATTTCTTCAGTATGCCAATGGTCCCCAACCTGTTTCCAAATTAATATAACGAATTTCTTGAAGCAACAATTTTAAGCACAGTAACTATTCTTGCAGCAAATAATTTAACTTTTTCAAGATTCTCAATGTCTGTTTTTGTGCATCCAGACCAAACTTCGACAGCATATACAAGTTGTGTTCTAATAAAAGATATACATGTATAGATCTGGGATAGAATATTTCTTGACACAGTCAATTTTAGTCTTTTTAGAAGCCCTATTTTTTGGTATGCTTTCTTTATAATGATATCAATATGATCAGACCATCCTAAGTTGGAGGACAGAATTTAGTATCCCAAGATGTTTGTGTTCTGTAACATATTCCAATTGGCAATTGTAAAAAATAATTTAGGAAAATGCTGTACATTTGAATTAAAAACTGAAAAGTTTTATTTTAGTATTAGGTACTTTTGCTTAATGGCAATTCAATTTACACAATGTTACCATTAGACGATCTATGTTGTGACTTTATTTCAATAAAATAAAAATTATCATGAAAGACTAGTTTTTATAATTTTGTGGAAGAAAAAACTTATATATGCATGTGCATTTACATGTAACTAAGTAATCATTCACACCCGTACTGTATCTTTATGACTTGATTTAAACATATTTTATTGCATCGCATATTTAATTTTCATCACAGGAGGTTCTTAATAACATGTAGTTAAATTATTTCTGCAAAATAAATTGAAAAAAATCCCCATTTATCTTCATTAAACCTTATTTTTTACTATATAACCTACTTGATATATGTAATTTGTATCCAAAACCTGCAATTTGATTTTTAACGCAAACATGAAACGTTAAAGAACTACGAGGGCCGTTCAAAAATTACGCGAACTTGTTGCACAGAAGAAATATTTGACGACATAATCGGGCAAAATTTCACAAATAATATAAAAAAAAATCTTTACTTATATGGTTTTCAAAATTTCATATCAAAATGTTGTAAATTGGTATTAATTTTGAGTGATTTTTCAGGACATACCATTAAGTCACGGCGCAGCAAAATCTTCGACGTCACGAGCATTATAAAAAATTTGTGATTGAGCTTTCATTTTCTCAACATTTTCCCTTGAGTACCTGTATAGTTTGAGTTACTTTATCTACTCAACATCAAAACATCATTTCTTGTCAAGCTTAAAATCTATTAAACAAGTAAAGAATATTCTTTTTTTGTTTTAAAACCAAAAACTACTTATGAGATATAGTGTGATATTGGTGACTCTCAATCACGTTCTTTACAGTCCGGATAACGTTAACTTTTCGTCTATAATCTTCTTCCCGTCCTCCCGTATAGCCTTTTTACAGAGGTCTAACTGTCTAAAATTTCAATTTGCTATTTGTGGGCGAATGTCACGAGTAGCCTAGTTTACTACATGTTTTATTATACATATTTTGGATCTATGTTGCCGATATCTCGAGCATTACACATATTTTAAGGGTCCTCCACACACCCACAGCTTGTGTTCTCATATTATTGAGCATTACTTTTAACAAGCATATCAACCTTTAAAAACTGTCCAGGGATTAAAATGTAATTTATACGGAATTTTTAAAATAAAAATTTCACAAGTTTCAAGAAATTTTTCCCAAAGCGTTTTCATACTTAGCACAACAAATTTTGTCTTACCCTTTCGTACATTTTAAAGCTCACAGAACAACCATAAAAACTTAATTTTATCGATCAACATATTTTTTACAGAAATTTATTTTATATATAAAAAGTACATAAAACTCGTTTTCTCTTTCTGTTAGTACAATAGTATAATAGAACAATTTAAAGGTACATTTGAGAAAATTGTTGAAAAATATCGCGAATTTTAGAAAATCAATGAGTTAAGTTTTTGAATCCGCATGCTTTTGCTTCAATTTTTTTTTGTCGTGCGCTGTACCTCTCCATCAACGATATCAACATACCGATAATTTTAGTAGAATTTTTCTAAAATACAGAAATTTTGCTTAAAATTATTGAAATCTTTAAGATACATATTTCTGTGAAATTTTATAACTATATGACGTCTGTAAGAGTAAATAATAGCACAGTCCGCGTAATTTTTGAACGGCCCTCGTACATGTAGATTTTTAGATAAAACATCCACATTCATTTACAAAATGCTTGTCGAGAGTTTTTGATAATGTAGTATTTTATGCATGAGATGAATAAGTACTTCTGTAGCACATTTTCAAACAAAATAATCTGATATAAACAACATTTATTTATAGTAAGTTTATTTGAAAATGAACAGTCGTCTTACTTTATTCTTTATGCCATTTGTGGGAAATTTATTCTTATTACAACAAACTAATTACTAGTAATAGTATAAATCTCAATTTTTGTAAACACGAAGTATAGAGATTTTTAAAATATTTCAAAGGCATTTGTATGTCAATTTTACATTATCAGAATTTTAAATTTTACCTGTGATTAATATAAAAACAGACTATAAGTCACCTGTAATTAATTTCTTTTTCTTTTGTTCTCTCTCTCCCCTTACCTGTACACCATTCACAACTAGCCAAAACCAGTCACCTGTAACAATGTCAGAATATTGGCTAAATGGAAAGGCACCACCATAACATTACTGGTATGGCATTAATATACTTGAACTTTTTCTTTCAATAAAGTTGGATATCGTAAATATATATATAATTTATATTATTTTAAAAATTATATAAGCTTTCCTGAAAAAGAAAAACAAGAAAAGCAACTTATTAAAGAAGAGAGGCACAAGGACAATATCGCTGACCTAAGCAACGATAGCCACTTCCATCAAAGTACCTTTACAAACCCAAATACCAAAAATGAATTGATTAATTAATTAAAAAAGAATAAAAATAAAACAACTTGTATAAAATGTAGAAATAATCTTTAAAATCAAATAACTGTGAAATTAAAGTTACCAGATTGTGGGAATTCACAATTTTTTTCTTCATATATTTCAATATTTATCAAATAACTTATTTTATAAAAAATCAAATATCAATATTTTCTTTCAAAGTGATTTAATATGTTCGATATTACTGCATTCTGAAAAGATTTTTTTTTTAAATCGAATATCAATATTTGCTTTCAAAGTGATTTAATATGTTCGATATTACTGCATTCTGAAAAGATTGTTTTCAAAGTGCATTAACTTGGTCCGTAAGCACTTGGATTTTTTTTTATTCAAAGTACGTAACCTTTCAGACTGCGGTCTGTAACAGATTGCCTTTTATTAAGTTGCATGCTTAAGGATATCCTATCCTCAGCCAGGAAGGAAAACTCCAAAAATTAATATTTAAATTGAAATGCATCAAAATGAAGCTTGAAAATGAATTTTTTTCATGCAACAATTTTCATTTTATTCATCTTTATAAGATTCAAGGTTTTTGGAAGTATTAGAAAGGATGTTATAAAAGGTGACATTTGTACCCTATTAAAGGGAAAAAATAGTACAGTTTTAGAGAAATAAGATTTTCTTGAATCCAGCCTTAGATACCAAAGCTTATTTGCATGGTATGAAATAAGAAGTGATTTTTGGTGTCTTTTAATGATAGCAAAAGTCTTTTACGCTATGTATAATAGGATACGTGACGGAAATAGGAGACAAAAAATACCAAATTAGTATAAAAAATCATGCCAATTTCTCTAAATGCCTGGATACATCTTGTTTTTAACCTAAAATATATTTGTTGATCAATTTGCAATTAGAAAATGCATTGCTGATATTCCAATTCGCTTTTTCTGCAAAAATATTGGAAATTTGACAATTATCCTATATAATATGATAAACTTTAATCTTTATCTTGAAAAAAAAACTGTGGATAAATTTACATAACTTTGTGGATTCAGAGATACTTTTATGAGTATTTTTGATTACTTAACTGCTAATTCTATAAACCTGAGGATCGGACTGCCTTAAACTCTATGTTCCTAAGAATTCGATTTTGTAGAGAAACATTTTTTTAAAGTGATATTGAGAATTTAATTTCAATAAAAAAGTATACTCTGTATAATGTTTAAAAAATAATGTAAATCTAAATTTATATTTATATTTTCGTATATATATATACTAATATATATATACTAATAATATATAAATATATACTAATAATTCCGTTTTCATTCGCTTTTACCCATTGCATGTAAGACCACCAACAGTTAAATTTAAACTGTGAAAACAAAGAAAAAAAATGAAATTTCACCTTCAACAATAAACAATGATAATTTGAAATGTGACAAGAATTTGTAACAATCAGTTTTATTCGATGAAAATATAGTATACAATATTTTGATTTAACACTAATCCGTACAATTCTAGATGTAGATATGTACATTCTTGAAGAGGTATACAAATATTGTTCTATTCAAATAAAATAAAATAAACAAAGCAGAATTTGCATCACTCTAAGGTTCTTCTCCAAGGAAATTAAATTCGGCACTAGTTACGTCCCCATTAGACATATTTTCTGCTTTAACACGGAGTTCAGTCCCGCCAAATATCAACTGTACATTAACCCCATGTTTTGTCCCTTTCTTGGGTTTTGGGACTTGGGCTTTTAGAGTTCCTAAATAATGACATCCTGGATCAGTTACATATTTCGGTACCTCATCTGAATATGACACATATAATTCTAAGTCAAGTTCAGTCTGGTCTTCACGATTGACTTCGTACGGTCGTTTCGCTTGTGCTTCGTCGATATGAAGGCTAGCTCCTTTCCGTACATGCACATCAAATATATCTTTACAAAAATCTTTTCCATTCATTGATATCTTCTTTTCTTTACTATGTATTTTGTGATTAAATTTCTCAAATGATGCAAAACCATAAGTATATTTTGCGACTCTTGCCATAATTACGCGAGGATTATGACCAAATAATACTGCCCCTTTTAAAACCGCCAAGCCGGCATCATTTGGAACTACAACACGGAAATCGGGAAATGCGGCACGAATACGAGCTTGTAGTATAAGTGATTCAGAAAATCCACCGACCATTAATATTGTCTGTGTACCTCTCACATTTGGTTTCTCCAACAGATGGTTAACATGATCAATAATTCCTGCACATGCAGGTTGGAAAAAGCTGTCAAATAATGCTTGTGTGATGCGCAACTTGTCCCCTTCCCATTTCATACTGTTGCTGTATTTAGATTCTTTAATTGCATCAGTTATTTCTTTATGATCGTATTCTTCAAACCATTCACTGAATGTTGCTGGTATTTTCATGGTGACTTTTGACTGTGGAACATTGGTCTTTTTTCTTTTTTTCATTTCAAAATC